GGGACTGAATCCAGAGGCATTTTACTACTGAGCTATATCCTCAATTCTATGTTTTTTTTAAATTTGAGACAGGGTCTGTGTTGTCCAGGTTGGCCTCAAATTTGTGATCTTTCTGCTTCAGCCTCCAGAGTAGCTAAGATTACAGGCATGCAGCACTGAACAAGGCTAAGATATCATTTAATTTTAATTTCTGTATTTTAAGAGTCACTTATCTTTTAAAAAGTCATTAATCTCCCACTCTGTGATAACTTTGCATAACAGGATGTTGAAGGCCAGATTTTTTCCTAGGTACATCTCTGGTGTAGCCAGAGCTAATGCTCAGTCTGTCCCAGAGACAGAGGCCAAGAACCCAGAACTGTGGGTCCTGGGCTTAAGAAGAGGGTGCCGTACTTGGGATAAGGGTGTAAGCAATCTCATCTAAGGCTGAGGGTCTTTGGAAAAGATACTTCCTAGCTTGGTGCCTTCCGGATTCTGTCACATGACAGTATGGTCTCTTTCTCTCCCATCCATCTCTCCATCACACATTATAACATCAGGACAAGAGCCGTGGGCACCTCAGGCAAGATGGGCAAGAGACTGAAAGGGCAACCTTCCTTCCTATATATTTAACACATTTATGTTTCTTGACAGGTACGTGGAATGGAGGGAGACCTACACAATTTAGCAGACGTCTATGTTATGACTCTAAGGACCAGAATGCACTCAATTGTTATAAAGGAACAAAATGTTAGAAAAGTACACATGATATGGAAAAACAAGGCTGCCAGAATGGCAGCAGCTGTTGCCACAGATGCTGTTGTATCTGTGTGTCTTCCTTGCATCTATCTATCACTTCTCATGGCAGTCCCCCCTTCCTGTGGGGCCCTTCCTGTCCTCTCAACAGAGCACTGTCCTTTCCAACATAGTCCTGCTTTCTTTGTCATCATCAGGACTCCTGCCAGGTTTCTGCCTTGGCCTCAATACAACTCCAGACGCATCCTTTTGATTTCTGCCCCTATTCTTACTGTCTCTTTAGTTCCAACCTCAAGGGAAGAAGCTCATCGACACAGCTCAGCTTTCTGCATCAGACTCCTGGTTAAATACCAGTGATCAAGACTGTTTCAGGTGAGAGGACAACTTCCTGGTCTAATCAACCAGAGCTGGAGGACGTCATAAGGTGGCATGATTCATGGAAGGGCCTGGGTGGACAGGGAGAGGTCCTAAAAGGGAGGGTGGTGGCAAGTGTAAAGCAGTATCTTTACAATTCAGTGAGTTCTAGAATCTGAGGGAGAAGGAGGGCCTTATGCAATGATCAGGTCCCAACCATGCTCCCACTATGCAATGATCAGGTCCCAACCATGCTCCCACTTAAAATCCTAAATCTCCCAGGGCTGACAGGAGTCATTTCCTTCTTGAAGATCTCTCAGGCGAATGGGGACTGGGTATGGGGAATGAATGGATGGGAAAAGCCATTTATAAAATCTCCCAGTAACTCTGGGATTGAATGAAACTTTGGAAGTGGGGCTGGAATAACAACTAATTTACAAGTTACATGTTTTCTGACTATATTCACTACATACTATGAAATGGAGATAGCTTTTGGGAAAAATTCCTAGAATCTCATATACTGTTTTGTGTTCAAAAGTTGGAGATAATGTTTAAAGGCATGCAAAAACTTTCCAGTATTTTTCTTCTTTTGAGGGATGTTTCCAGCACAGAGTACGGGAATCATGTAATAACATGGAAATAACATGGAATACCCTTGATTGTGGTATTCAGAAAAAGATGAACATACATGTGATGACACTGTATCTTTTATAGTTCTTGAGTGGCAATGGTATAATGAATATTAGGTCACCGGCAGAGTTTTAAAACCTCAAAATGTAGATAAATTTCCAAATCACATTTCCAGTCACTTAAGGAACATGGTTAACATTTTTTGGGATCTTTACTAGCCTCAAAGAATTCGTTTTAGTGGCAGTATTAACTTATCCAAAACAGGTACGCAAACAAGCATTCAACAAATGCATTCCTTTGTTTCTCTAAAAAATAACAAAAACAAAACAAAAAACTGCAGAAACACACAGAAGAGAGCTGCACTTGGCTCCAAAACAGAAGTAACATAATTGCAAGACATGCTCAGACATGCAGCTATTTTGCTATTTTATCCAAACAGCTGCACAGGGGAGAAGGCAGTTGCACTCTTAAAGGGCCTGAGTACTCCTAAACGCAGCATCACGATTCATCATGTCACAACCAAGCCAAGAATCAGTCTTCCTAGTCCAAGCTTAGCTGAAATTCAGCTGAAAAATGTGTTATCAGTATGGGGCACATTTTGACACAGGGGAAACAACAGGCTAAATATCCATCAACAGATGGATGGATAAAGGAAATGAGGTCTTTAGACATATGGAGTATGACTGTGCCACAAAGCAGGATTAAACTCGAGGCATTTGTAAGCTGAAATACCTCGAGACTATCATCGTAAGTGAAATAAATCAGACAAAAGAGTTTAAACATCTCATGGTTTCCCCTCTATGAGAAACCCAAAATATAAATCAAGTGAACAATAAAAGATATGTAATAGGAAAGTAGGGAGATTTCTTTTTCAAATGAGGAGAATAAGAGATGGAGAGGGAGGGAAGGAAGGGAAAAAGGATTTTTAAAAAAAGAGTGAAAGAAAAACATGGAAACAGCTTTTTCAAAAGTAAATGGGATCAAGGGTAAGAAAGCAGAAAGGGACAGGAGAGGAAGGGAACAAAAAAGAAATGAAGTGTGTTATGTACAAACTCTCCACCAGAAATGTAGTGCAAACATGTACTAATAAAAATACATAATAAAAACTAAAAAAATTAATTAATGGAAACATCTCAAATATCCAATTAGAATCTACACTGATTTTATTTTCTTGGGAGGCGAAAGAGGAGAATATAGGTTGAGTGTCATTATGTAAAATGCTTGGCACCAAAAGTGTTTTAGATTTCAGATTTTGGGATACTTGCATATACATAAGCTATCATGGGGAAGGGACCCAAGTATAAACCCAAAATTCATATTTGTTTCATATATACCTTGTACACAGAGCCTAAAGAGAATTTCACATATTTTTAGTGTACCTGACTCTAGCCTATGACTCATAATATGAGGTCAGGCATGGAATTTTTCTCCTTGCATGCACTGCAAAAATCAGTGCATTTTTTGGATTAGGGATGTTCACTTTACACATAGGAAATAATTCTCATTTACCATTGTAGGGTGCTACCAACATTTTATGTCAGATGATTCTTTGTGCCAGGTAACAGTGGTCCTGTGCTCTACAAGGTGTTTATAGTATCTTTGGCCTCTACCCATACAATGCCAGCAGCACCAGTATCAAGACATGACAATCAAAACTGTCTCTAGACATTGCTAACTGTCCTCCTAGAGGAGGAGGAATAAAACCGTCACCAGTCAAGAACCACAATGTGAAACAAAGCTGTTCATAACTAAGATCACTATTTTGAATTAAAGCAGAATCCCTAGAAACAGGCCAATTTCACTGACTTCACTGTGCCTTTGCTACAGTTAGCTTTGTAGAGCTGCAGGGTGGGGCACTGCCCTCCTTTTCTGAAAAGGAGGTCAGAAAGGCAACTGCAAAGAACTCCTTACTCTGCACATCACTATGTTCTTTAATAAGGGAGGCGGGATAACATGAGACCACAGTTTATGATGATTCTAGAGAGGATTTAATTCTGCCATTTAGGAAGAGGTATGTTTTTTAGGTCCTAGAACTTTTGTTTGTTTGAGACACAGTCTCATTATGTAGTTTAGGCTGGCCTTGAAGTTAGTATGTGGACCAGGCTGATCTTGAACTTGTGGTGATCCTTCTGTCTCAGCTTTCTGAGTGCTGGGATTACACACAGGCACCACCATACTTGGATAGATCCCAAGGCCTTCTTATACAACCATCCCTCAAAATGATGCTGTTTGCCTACTGAGACCTACTTGCCATGTGAAAAGATTTACATTGCCTGTCAACAGGTCACACCAGATCTGATTCCTTTACTGCTGTATCTTCCCAGGTGCACTTTGGAAATCACCCCCCGGAGGGTGCAGGGGGCCCTTTGGGCCCAACAGCCAAGTGCTTTGGAAAAATCTGATTTTTAGTTTATAGTCAAGAATCTAGTTTATAGTCAAGAGCTGTTTCACGCAAGACCTCCCTGAGGAATTCTGCCCACAGCAGCCCTCGAAGGCATTCTTTTCCTAACTACAGAGCAAAGACACTGCCTTCCTCGAGTGAAACAGAGTTCTGCACCTGCACAGACTGCTTCCAAGAGGACAAGTGGATAGACCACCACGGAGTCTCTCTGTACAGTGTCTAGCTCCAGAGAACTGTCCAAATCTTGTTGGGACATGGTTCTCAAAAGCAAGTACCAGTGCCCCGCAGTATTTGCAGTAATTGGTTCTAGGACCCTACCAATCAAGAATACCAAAACCTAAGGACATTTAAGCTGCTTATATAAAATATGGTATGCATCGAGAACCTCCACATAGCCTCCTGTATACACTCAAGTCTTAGTGTAGTAAAGTATACTAATATCACTTTACATTACTTATAACATATAACCCTATGTTATAACCCTAGACACTATGTAAATAGTTTTTGCACAGCATTGGTAAAAGAATGACAAGAAAAGCACATGTCTTTATACATTCGGTAAACATATATTTTTTTCTTCCAGAATATTTTCAATCTACAACTGGTTGAATCTGTGGATGTACAACACATAAAAACAAGTGTGATGTGCAACTTCTAACCAGTAAGAGTGAAAGAGTGTATACAGGAGTGTAAGAAAGACAACCATAGCTTCAGTTAGACACCCAAACGTTGGAGCAACCAAACTCCTGAACATTCTTGTTTCCTTCTAAGCAGATCCTATTAAGCTATGGGCACTTGGTTTGATTACTCCCTGCATCAAAGTTAAATTAAATTAGCCAACCGTCTTCTTTTCAGAGAGTGACATACACACAAGCTGACTCACCTTCCAGAAGTTATCCACTTTGCCATACACAAGGGACTGGTTCTGCCTTTTGATTTCGTTAATGTGATGGATGTCACTGGAGTTCAGGTGCTGCTCGACCACAAATCCCAGAAAGCTGTTGTCTGGGGTGTGAGCTGATGTGGAAAGCAAAGGACAGGGCCATTAGAGTTTGATCAGCAAGGAGCAGCAGCAAGTTACAGACTGAATCAAAGCCACCTACCTTAACGATCACTCATTTTACCCTATTCCTCCTCATCTAAGAGGGGAGAGGAACTGTCCTCTCCCATTCTGGCAAAAGCTTCACATGAGAATAACTCTCTCCATGAATTAATCTACATGAAATCCTACTTTTTCAAAGGGAAAATCTGCCTGTCTAAAAATCGAGACACCCTCTCTCCTCCTTGTTCCCTCAGCATAAGGCTGGCCTATCGGCAGACATTCCTTCAGCCAGCTTTCAACTGTAGGAGCCAGAAATGTGCAGAGGTCAGGGTTTGATCAGTGGTTCTGAACAGGAAGGGGCTATCATCGAACTGGGTAAAAGGGGGTTGGGGCAAAAATTGAGTGGTAGCTGCCCAAAGTTTCATCCTGTTATTTTTAAAGAAGTACAGTCACACGCTGCATAGCATTTCAGTCAGTGATTGCCTGCATATATAACAATGGCCCCAGAAGACTATCTGACCTAGTGATGTCACAGCTTTCTTTGCTTGTATTCATACACAAATATTGCATATGGTATTTGCACAGTGATGCAATGAGTTAACAACGCATTTCACAGGACACGCCTCATTAAGTGACATGGGACTATAATTTAAGGGGCTATACTGAACAGGGCATGGAAGGAAGGCAGACTAAAGGTAAATCTTACTTCGATAAAATCCACTCCAAAAAGCAACCACTACAAAAGAACAGTGCCTACAGGATAGATCATCATGGAATTTAGTTAGACAAACTAAATTCCTCTTGCTAACAGAGATATGCTCAGTAAAATCCGTGTACTGCAGCCCCAACCATATCCATTCACAGGAAGAAGAGAGATTCACCATAGGGAGGCGTGTCCCTTTGTCTCTTGGTTTTCTCAGGACAAAGGAGACTTGGTCCAGGCTTGTGGTGGTACCAGAGCCCTGGAAGTCATGCAGGGGTGGCCTAGGGCACGGGCCTGGAAATCAGACACCAACCTCTTTCATACTGATCCTGGGTGGGGAGTAACAGGGACAAGGGGGATGCTGGCAGACAGCCTGAAGCTACGGAGATGCAGAAGCAGCATAAATACTGTGCTGTCACCATCCAGTCTCCCAGGCCTGTGTCTAATGGGGGTGACAGAACGAGGAGATAATAGGGTTGTGACGGGGGAGTTGTGTGCGGTCTGGCCAATCTGTTATTTCATTTCTGCGTTTTTTTGAACGAGTGCCCAGAGGCAAGGGCAAGGGCTGTAGTTGGCTGAAAAAGTAAATTACTGAATAAATTCTCCCGCCAACAAGAGGCAACAGCTGCCTTTTTTCCCATTCCCTTTCCCTTTTTGAGGAACTGACAGGAGAGGGGATTTGTGGGGGAGGAGCAAGAGACTCTGTATACATTTTAAATGTCATTCAGGCCACTAAAGAAGTCTCTTTAAAGCTTTTTTGTTATTCTTTGAGTTCTGAACTAGAATTTGATGTTCTAAATTTGTTTTGTTTTTTTCCTCAGAAAATTTATGTAGTAACTAAAGATTTTCTCCCCCTGACATTCAGTTATCTAATCCATATGTAGGCACTTAAAAAATCTAGAATATCAAATACTTAATGGGTCTTATTTCATGTTACACTGTACTACAATGGAGTTGGAAAGCAAATGACCATTACCCCTTCCCCATAATGCATACATGGATATATTTCTGTGTTAAAGATTCAATAGCTTAAATAGTGAGACCGAGGAAATGGAAACAATTCACTCCCCAAACCTGTGAGGAGTGGCAAGCTTTGGCTGCACTGTGACTGTAATTTGGTACTAAATCAACTCTGACACCGTATGAAGAATAAATTACATGCCTGTGCTCTCCTCTAAATTTTCAACCAACTGTTCTCTGTCAAAACTCCTCTCTCTCTCTCTCTCTCTCTCTCTCTTTCTCTCTCTCTCTCGCTATGAGCTACTAACTTAAGGTTAGTATGGTATGGTATGTGTGGTATGGGCCAGCAGATGCTAACAATGGGTATACCCAGGTTTCAGGACCCAACAGCGGAGTACCAGCCTGGCCTCTCCATGACTCCTTCCAGCTAACACGGAATTCGTCACTGGACATCAAATCTCATTAATGTGTCAGTTTACTCAGTTTGACTCACCCCAGCAGGTGATGTGGAGTGACCACAGGCCAGATGTGACTTACTTCCAAGGGGTGACCAGCAGCTGATGTATGCTGGGTAACATCTCCAGAGAGGACCCTGGTCTCAACACAAGGCTTCTCATGTTGATTATAATTAATTGAAAGCTACAAGCCCAGCCTGATGTGATCTAGATTGACCTTTCCATGGAGATCTAACCTTTGCCCAAGCTTCTGCTTTTTCTCTGCCTTAAGATGAGGACAGACATCAGTTGTGCTTTAGGTTTCAAAGAGTAGCTAGTTACATTTCAAGATAAATCAAAGAAATCACATCATAAACAAGATGCAGGAAATTCTGTACTTTCAGTGATTAGTCCATTTAAAAGATAAACAGGATTAAAAATAAAGTAGCAGGTATCTGAGTTCTAACTATTTTGAATTCTATGCTAACCACATTACAGCAACTCTTTCATTTTATCCTCACAATAGGCTTATAACATGTTTGTTAAAATAAGAACACAGAATTACTTAAATGATCTGAGTCTACATGTTAGAAATGATAAAAAATAGGATTCAGAGCCAAAATGGCAGGTTTTAACCTCCTTAAACCATTCTAATAAATAGCCTGTTGTCACAGATACTTTATTGCAGAACCCAGTGAACTACAATGGTAAACCATGCTTCAGAGGAAAATAACATTATAATATAGACCAAAATAGATACATACACAGATATGCGCACACACACACACACACACACACACACACACAATTTTGTGATCAACTTCTGTCAGTCTGACGTGGGACTGTACTGAACTTTTTACATGCTACAAACTATAGGAAACTTGCTGAACATTTACAATCATATTAATATAGTTTAGGATAAACTTCTTATTAAGAAAAGCATGACTTTAAGCATTGTGGAAGCACCTGCTTATAAATTATTATAAACTAGCTTGAAGCATTCTCTGAGCAGAACATGATGCCTGCCTGCTTTGAAGAAATATCCTTACGGGGTGCAGTCTAAAAGAGTAAATCCAAATGCTCTACAACTCAGTACGGTAACAAAAGTTGACACCAATTAGTTGCACACTGTAAAAACAGTCAAGCAGATTGAGTGTTTTCCAACACAAGAGGGTGATAAACACAGAAATACTATTAGATGAGCTTGAATAATCTATTCAATGCCAAACCTTTACAGTTCTCATTTTGTAAACCAGCAACTGAGTGATTACAACCTAAGACTTTTCGTCTCTCAGGTACTCACTAAATACTTAATAAATGAAGTACATACTGTTCCCTCCAAGCAGTAATACTGTCATCTTTAAAATACAATTCAAAATTTTTATTAAGTCAAATTGACCTTTCTTTCAATGGTATAAAACTCCAAGGTTTGTTTTTATGACCAGTAAGTCCCAAGTACCTCTAAGAATTTTGTTAATACACACCCTTTGGTCATCAAAGACAGACACCCTTCATCCAGCCTGGGCTCATTCTTCAGCCAATAACCAAGTCCTGGGGCCAATAGCTTCTCAAAATCCAGCAACTTGCTCCCTCTTCTCCATCTTTTTTAGTTTAGGTCTCATCAATTTTTCCCAAGGTTTCTGCAATCAACCAGTTTTTTCTTTCCCCTAAGTACAAATCATTTACTGTTTTTCCTGATTAAAACTGCAATATATTCTTAGTATAAAACTTTTTTCAGATAATAAAGATATAAGGAAAAAATTATTTTTATTACCTTACCACCTAGAAATAACCACTATTAGCTTTTTCCAAAGTTTATGGATTTTTTTAATCCTCAAACTAAAATTGGATCCTGTTATATCTACTCTTATAAACATCCTTCTGTACTTTCATGATGTGTAACAGGTACCTTTCTACATAATAATTATTGTTCAACACTACTTGTTAAAGCAGCACAACATGATAATATGCCTGAGCCAATTTTCTCACACAAGGATGCTTCACAGCTCTGGTTGCCCAGCATCCTCCTGTGGAAATGACTATACACTCTTCAACTCTGCATGTTTGTGCAGGTGGCTGATAGGGTGCCAGTCCTAACCCTCATCTCCCTTGCCCCAATCTCCTTGCCTCCAGGGATAGGCATCTAATTGAGAATAATCTACCTGATGAAGGGTCAGTTCAAAGACAGGTTCATAATTCAAGATCTGCCAAACATGACTCTCATGACTGCTGAAATCAATGTCTTCCCGGTATACCCCCTGTTACAATGGGAGTCTAAAGCTGTAAGTAGCCCTCTGTAATTCCATATGTTATTATTTAGATTTAAAATCTTTCCCCAAAGTCTCATTCATACAGAAGTGGGTCTTTGGGAAGGTGACTGGAGCACAGAGGTACCATCCTTACCAGCAGATTAATCCATCCATTCGCAGCCAAATGCGCTGTTAAGAGGGAAGGCCGGGCTGCAGGACATGGGACACTGGAGCATGACATGGAAAGATATATTTTTGCTCCTGGTCCCTTCCTTCTCTAGACTGTTTCCTGAACACCATGACTTCAGCTGCTTTCCTCTGTCATGCCCTTCCATCATGCCATTTCTTTGTTGAAGCCACCCAACTATGGATTGAACCATCTGAAGCTGTGCGCCAAAATAAACCTCTTTTAAGTTTCAGTCAAGAATTTTGTCTCAGTGATGGGAAGGCTGACTAGTACACCATGTAAAGATAGATAAGTCTAAAAATGATACCAACTCAGAGAAATGCAAAGTTAGAATACGCAGAAACACCCTCTAAGGCGTGTATTCAGACCCGTAACGGCTGGCTCCAACAATTCCTAGAGATCAAAGGCAACAAAGCCTTGTGACCAAGCTAGCATGACAGAC